AGGTAACATTTGCTATATAATTTATATATATTTGAAATACAATTCACAATACGTAATTTCGTAATTATATGGAATACAAGGATGAAAATGAAAGATTAAAAATTTTTTAGATAAATTAATACTTTATTTCGAATATAGAGATCGCAGTAGAGATATACCTTAATGGTATATATTTTCATGTATTCTTGTATTAGATTATTAAATTCAAAATTTTACTATACCATATTATACTTTGCTACAATATACTTTTTTTTTGACACGCAATTAAACGATTCAGAAAAAAATTTCACATGTGTATGATTTTTTTAAATATATTTAGCTATTAAATTTTGATTTGTGCAAACATTTTCGAATATTTATATTACTAATGTGCATACTTTACTTTAATAACGAACATTCAGAATATAATTTCCACAAATATTTCTACAAATATTGAGAAATACTTTATAATTTCCAATTAATATCTTTAATGCATACTTAAGTTTATAATTATTTTCTAGAAAAATAGTAGTATTTTCTAAATGCCCTTCCTCTTTTAATCAGATTTATTTGCAGAAAATTTTTGTGATCGCGCGCAATGCGGTCAGTAGAGTCAGTGTTTGTTGCGCAATGTTTTAATATTTTTCTGAGTAAAGTTCATTTAAATTATAAATCGCGATGTTAGAGTCAGTGAGTCCGCCGATTGTTATTTAAAACGCGCGATAGTCTTTTATTTTTCTTTTTTTATATTTCGGTTATTAGAATCAGTGCTCAAGAGAAGCTCAAGATCGTAAGTAATTACATATTGTACTTCAATTTACTGAATTTTTCAAGTTTTTACAACAAAGTGTAATGTTTCACGTTACAGACGCTTCACAATATCAACTTCTTGATATTCTGGGGAAAATCTAACGGTAGCTCCAGAGCCAAGAATGTAAAAATCTTTCGTTATCTCTTAAGATTCTTAAGATCTGTTTTGCTTTTAAATATAATATTTAATATTTTTAATATTTTGTTTTGTTACAGATCTACAATCTCCAATTCCCCTTATCCTCTGAGAATCTTACGATGCTTCAAAAGTTAAGAATGTAAGTACTTTAGTACTTGAATTCTATTCTTTGTAGATATATAGTCTATAGTTTAGCACATTGTACTTGAATTCTATTTGCAGATATATAGTCTTTCCATTGAAATCGAATGTAAAATTATAACTATAAAATAAAAACATTTTAAGCTATTAGAGTCCCAATCATTATTAAAATTTAAATTTTCACAAATAACACTGTGTCTTTATGCTTTTCAAGAAATTTTTCACGGTGTTCACTTTCATCATGAGATTCTCTGTTTGAGAATTTGATGAGGATCTTCACGATGACTTTCTTTGGTCCAGTGCAGATGATATCGATCTTCACATGGTGAGTCGCATGCATTTGTACATTCCTCTAGTCACTCAACATGTCGTAGGATGAAAAGTCCGAATCGGCACGGGTGACTGGTTGTATACGTAGAATTTTTGATGAGCATAGTGACCGCGGGTATG